CGTTCATTCCACACATTTTCATCATGAACCATAATTCTACCTGCTGTGTAATCCCAAGTGATTGGAGAGCCAGAATTGCATGATATCAACAATGGATGTAAGATATCGTAGTGTTTCTCCCAGGTTTTCAAACGAGCTTGAATGTTATGCTTATCAACTTTAACATTTAGCTTCACCTGAAGTGCATTTATAGCAGCTGTCCAAGAGGTAGACTTCCAAGCAAGTTTTCCATCAAGTTTGTTTCCTTGATTCAGTTGTTCAATAAAAGAAGCTCCAAGAACTTTATCCATCTCAGAACTCCAGGTGAAATATTTTGATTTTTCTTTCCCTAGTTGTGAATTACAGTCCATCTATAACAAAGAAGAATAGATTGCACAACTATTATTGCAAAACTCTACTAATAACTAATTAACCATAACAAAATACACAACAAATTAGAAATATGTAATCAAATAGAAGTAACATACAAGGAGAAATATAGCTTTATAAGCTAAAAATCTGATTTATGCAAGAAGTGATTACAACCAATTTAGTTTCATAAGCATGACCCTAAAATCTACGCCCATTTTGATAATGGATAAACATAGCTTTAGCTAAATTATCCCTAAATTCAGTCCACTCATTTGTGACTTGAGCAGTTGTAATTCGATCAGGGTGTTGAGTCTCTTCCTCATTATGATAATGACCAGACATACTTGGTTGAGCCTCTTCCTCATTATGATAATGACCAGACATACTTGGTTCAGTCTCTTCCTCATTACAATCAACGCCATATGTAGTAGCTCTACTTTGAATCTCAGCATCAACTTCATCCAATAATGGATCAATAGGTGCCTCTATTCGAATAAGATTGTGAAGAATAGCACAAGCATTGATGATCTTCACATGTGTTTGAACATCAAAAAAAGATACTTCTCTAAGAATTTTCCATCGCTTCTTGAATAGTCCAAAAGCTCTTTCAATCACATTCCTAGCAGTTGCATGTCTTAGGTTGTATAACTCCTTTGGATTTTTTGGATTGTTGCCTCTAGTGGACCACTCATTGAGATGATATCGAATACCTCTATAAGGAGCTAGAAATCCAGGTCCATTGGTATATCCCGCATCTACTAGAAAATATTTGTCTACGAGATAAAAAGTGAAATTTGATTATTACTTTGGACTTCAAAAATTTAACAAAAGAAAACAGATTCCTAACCACAGCATACCCCTGGGAACTATGAACGGATCTTTTCTTGTAAGTGCATCTCGTAATACTCTGCTATCTGCTGCAGATCCCTCCCATCCCGGTAGAATATAGGTAAACCTCAAGTCACGAGAACACACGGCTAAGACATTGGTTGTTATCCTACCCTTTCTATTTCT